TCAAAGCTGTGGTTTTTCCAGTAGTTATGTGTGGATGTGAAAGTTGAAGAAAGCTGAGTACCTAAGAATTGATGCTTTTGAACTGTGGTGTTGGACAAAATTCTTGAGAGTCCCTTGGACTGCAAGGAGATCCAACCAGTCCATCCTAAAGGAAATCAGTCCTGAATATTCGTTGGAAGGACTGATGCTGAAGCTGAAACTCCAATACTTTGGCCACCTGATGCAAAGAACTGACTCATTGAAAAAGACCCTGATGCTGGGAAAGATTGAAAGCAGGAGGAGAAGGGGACGACGGAGAATAAAATAGTTGGATGGCACCACCGACTTGATGAACAAGAGTTTGAGCAAGCTCCAGGAGTTGGTGATGGACAGGGAAGCCTGGCATGCTGCAGTCTATGGGGTCACAAAGAGTTGGACACGACTGAGCAACTGAACTGATCTGACATACATAGAGAAGTTGATTGGTCGATTGAGGGGGCTACCTAATCTAAAATCTGGTGAGGCATACCAACAGGTTAGAAACTCAGGCAGGTGTCATTGCTACAGTCTTATTTAGCTGCATCAAATCTTCCTTGTGGTGTATGGGCTTTTGTCTCGTTGTGGCCCAGGATCTAGAGTGTGTGGGCTCAGTAGTTACAGCACATGAGCTTAATTGCGCCGTGGCCTGTGCAGTCTTAGTTCCCTGACCAAGGATAGAACCTGTAGCCCCTGTGTTGGAAGATAGATTCTTAACCTCTGGTCCACCCTGGGAGCCCTGTTGCTATGATCTTAAGGCAGGATTTCTTCTTCAGGATACCCATTTTTCTCTTCATGTCTTCAGTTGATTAGATGGGGCCCAACCATATTATTAAAGGTGATGTCCTTCACTTTAGAGTAACCTGATTGCAGATATTAACCATATCTATAAAATACCTTTACAGCAACACCTAGATTATAGAGTTTAATAACTAGATTCTGTAGCCAAGTTCACGTATAAAACTGTCCATCACAGTGCCCTGCCTTATTAATCAAGGGAATGCAAATCAAGAGCACAAGGAAGTATGACTTTATATTCACTAAACTGACAAAATTTAAGTATCTGGTAAGACCAAGCATTGTAAGGACTCTCATATATTGATGGGAATGTAAACTGTAATAGTCATTCTGATAAAGAAGTTGGCACTGTCTTATAAAGATGTTCGTAGCCTAGGATGTTCATGCCTTCAGAAATTTTTGCCCATGAACACCAAGAGATATGTAAAATTTACAAGAAGGTGATAGTAGTTTTAAATATATATATATATAAGTAGCAAAACAACAACAGTCTGGAAACAAGTATTCATTGATAAAAAAGTAGATCAGTAAATCATTCTGAAATCACAGAATGGAATATTAATCAGTAGTGAATAAATACACAGTAGCCATGTGGATCATGAGTGAATTTTGAAAACATAATATTGAGTATAAAATGCAAGGCACAGAAGATTAAAATAGCATAATACCATTTTTATTAAAGCTCAGAAACAAACCAACAGAATATATTGTTAGGGAATGCAAACCTATGTGAGGACCCTAGCTATGGGGGATGGGCCAGTGAAGGAAGGCAAAGTGGGTTAGAACAGTGTTGCCAGCGTTCTACTCTTTTAAGTTTGGTGTTGAATTCCTGCGTGCTTATTTCATTATAATGCCTCATATTATATGTTACAGATAATCCTTTTGTATTATCAAATCACTTTACATTTTATAAGAACATAAATAAAACTATTGGGTTGACCAAAAAGTTCATTTGGGTCCCATCTTACGGAAAAACCCAGATGAACTTTTTGGCCAACCCAATATTTTTTTCATTCCAAAAAAAGTTAAATTTTAAAGAAGAGTGTTATAATCTATCTATCTATATATATAGCTGATTTAAAGTCTATGAAGGGCTTAGAAGACAATATGATTCAGATTTAATACCAAGGCTGGCTTTCAATCAGGAAGAGGTCCAGATGAGCTGAAACAATGGTTGTTTAACTTTTGGGGGTTTATTGATTGACTGCTTTGAGCTGAAAGTTATTGAACCTCTTCCCAGAAAACATTTCATATGTGGAAAACTTTTCAGTTCCAGGGAGTGATGGTGAATCTGGTCTGGAAATAGGTTACTAAAGCTATCTAACAGTTAGCAATTTTGATGAGCTCATCTTACTGTAAGAAATGTATAGCTGATATTGCTAGTCAGAGGACAAAGAGTCTTCATCAAAGGTGTGACTTCATTCATTAAAGTTAGTTTGTAAATTCATAGAAGTGTCATAAAGCTAGATTAGAATAGGGAGACATGATCTTAGTACTTTCAGTTTTGTGTGATGGGTATCATAGTTGGATTTTGGCAAGTGGTTGTCAGGACTCTCTTTCAGGTTTTAATTTTTTAATTTGGCCAGCTTGCCAAGGCTCAAATTGAGGAGTGACCTACTTTTTCCTGGGTGAGAGCAACCAGGGCATGGGGAAAATAATTCTTTTTTCCTTTGCAGGAAGTTTTGTAAACTTTCTCAGTTGGCAAAGTCTGTATTCCACATCTGATACATGGGAAAGCTGTGCTTAGAAATATGGGTATTTTAAAAATAAAATTTCCAACTTGCAAAAATGCATCCTTGAAAACATAAGATCTCTCTCAGGTGGTTCTCTCAGCTAAATGAGTAATATAACATGTCATTGTTTATGGATACTTGATAAAGTGAAGAGCAGTATCATGTTTTCTTTGTCTGGCATTTGACAGCTGTTAACTAGTGAAATGAGAGATTAGAGTTTGTGCAACTGAAAGCATACACTTGATGTCTTCAAACAAAACTGTGTCGCCTTCTATATAAAGTATTCAATTAGCCTACTGGCAAGATGTGTAGGGTATGCTTTTGAGAGAGTTATGTTTTCTTAGTGAGTTTCTTATGCTGTTTTCTAAGTCCAATAAGATGTTGATATTTACAAGATAAAAAATTATCATAGCTATATAAAAATATATACTGATTGTATTACTATATAATTCATCAAACAGTGTTTTACACAACTGGTAAGTATATATATTTTAAAATATTGACTAATAAAGAATACTAAATTATCAGCTTTACCTTTCTTATCTTTCTTATATAAAAGATGATTGTCTTTTTTTCACCCAGCTTGTTTTATACTTTGCCTGTTATGTCAGTTTCCCCACCCCTTTGCATTGGGTTGAAAGAGAAAGTGTTTCTCAGTTTGAAACTATCCTCTTACTTATTTTTCATTTCCATATGATCCCTTATTAAGACACTAGAAGTATTGGTCTTTTAACTGTCTGTGCCAGTGTACTATTTTTAGTTAATCCTAGAAGGAATAAATCAGTACAGCATAGAGGTTAAAAGTGTAGTTCCCTGGAACCTAACTAGTTGGTGAATCTACACTCAGAAAATAACTAAGTGTAAGACCTTGGCAAGTTGCTTGAATTTTCTCTACTCTGTGATTTCCTGTGTTTTTAATAAAAGGGTGACTTCAATGCTCTGGTACCTAGTAAAAACTGAGTGAATGTTAACTATAAAAATAGCAGTAATAAGAATTATTATTCTTGAATTAATTATTGATAGGTTGCAGACTTAACATCCTAGCACTTATGTCTGTTTTAACATCCTAGCACTTATGTCTGTTTAGTGTATTTGTTTGTAATACAAAACAGGTTGGCTGTACCACTCTCTATCTGGGTCTAAATGTCCAGTAATGTGATAGTTCAATTCCTTTAAAAAATAATAATGATATCTGTTGTATATTATGAGTAAAATTTTCAAGGCCTAAGATCAAATGAATGACAAATTATATTCACTTTAATGTTTTTGTGAGTGCCTAGTATTTTCAAAGCAATATGGGTAATATACAGACAAAATATAGTTCTTGTACTCAAGTAATATTAATTTAATAGAAGGGATTAGAGAAATAGAGACAAAATATAGTGTATTTTCCCAGGTGGATGGAAGTTATGATATCAGAATTTAAGAATTTAGAATAGACTAGTAATACAAGCTGAATAAACCAGAAAACCAGTTTAAGCATCTTGGGGAACTGAGGGGAAAGAAATTGGGCTGCATACTGTAATTTGAGGATTATTACTTCATACCCAGGGATCTCTAGGTTAGGTTTTAATTTATATTTATTTCTTCTTCATATTGGTATTACCATCTACAGATGTATGTGTGCATAATCGCTCAGTCGTGTCTCTTTGTGACCCATGGACTGTAACCCACTAGGGGGATTCTCCAGGCAAGAATACTGAAGTGGTTTGTCATGCCCTCCTCCAGGGGATCTTCCCAACCCAGTGATCAAACCCAGGTCTCCCACATTGCAGGTGGATACTTTACCATCTGAGCCGCTCGGGAAGCCTAAGAATACTGGAGTGTGTAGCCTATCCCTTCTCCAGGGGCCCTTCCTGACTCAGGATTTGAACCAGGGTCTCCTGCATTGCAGGCAGATTCCTGAGCTACCAGGGAAGCCCTCTACAAGTGTAATACTTGTTAAAAACTCAGTTTGTAATACCCAAGTAGAAATATTTAACATTTCTGTAAGAGAGGCATAAAGTATGACCAGTGTTAGCATAGAGGTGATGTACTGTGGGAAAGAATTAGGAAAAAAATCTTCATAGAAGAATATTTGAGCTGGGATTTCAAAGGATGCATGTGATTCCAGGTGAATTTGGGATCTGTAGTAGTTGTTTGCCCCATGGAAGTTCCAAGTGTCAGCATAAATTCAGAATGAAGATTGTACATGGTATCCTCTTGAGAGAGGATGTGTTCATCGGAGCAGGAATGTGGGCATATGTAGGAGTATGTTGGGAGATATATTTGAAGAGCTAAGTTGGTGACAGATCTGGTGGGCCTTGACTGCCTTTAATTTAAATGCGTGACAGAGAACCACAGAAGACTCTTTTACATGGGGAATGGTGATGGTAGTGGTGGTAGGCTAATACAGATGGATTATCTACCAACTGCACTTATGTGTTCATTGAGTTCATGTTTTGTCTCTTTCAGGAAGTTCATGACTTATTACAAGACTATGAATTAAAATACTGTTATGTGGACAGAAATAAGCGAACAGGTAAGATTTCTGTTCTAAGCATCTGATTTTATTTTAATTCTGCATGTTGTCATTATAGAGCAAAAAAGCTAAGTGTCTTTTTATTCTTAAACTAATCTCTGAATTTCTTAAACATTAAATCATATACACATTACATAATTTATTTTCTGAAGGTAATATAAGTATTCTAAATTTTAGTCACATAAATTAATGCAGCTTTAGGGAGCTCATTCTACCACATGGACAATGGTGCTGTCAAGAACCACTTTAGGATCCTCCATCTAGGTTATTAGTCTGACCTGGCCCTGCCCACCAACCTTTCTGGACCACTGCTGGGATGCATCAAGCCAAGCAACTAACAGGGTAGGAACACAGCCCCCATAATCAATAGGCAGGTTGCCTTAAGACCTCTTGAGCCCACAGGGGTCACACCAGGCCCTGTCCACCAGAGCAGCCAGGACCCAGTTCTACATACCACTAGCCCTGGGACCCCTGGGTCCCTGCAGCCAGCCACCAGTGGGCAGGACCCCCTTGAGCTCTGGCCCAGCCCACCGGTGGGCTGGCTATAGCCTCTCAACCAGCCTTACTCACCAGTGGGCAGACACCATTCCCAAGCCCACCACAGCCCCATAGCCTGCCATGGCAGGACCTCGCCCATCACCAGCAGTCCAGCATCAGCTCTGAGACATCTTGGACCCCTCAACCAGGTTCCCCAGAATCTATCCCCATCTACCAGGAAGTCAACACAAGCTATAGGACACCTAGGACTCCAGAGCCAATTGTATTGGGAAACAGCCCCACACACTGAGGGACTAAAACCAGCTCAAGGATACTCAGGGCCCTTCAACTGAAGATCCTGGGACATGACTTCATCCACCAGTGAGCCATCACTAGCTCTGGGACTACTCGGGCCCTGTAGCCAGAGACCCCGGGAAACAACTCTGTCTACCAGTTGGTCAGCACAAACTCCAGAACCCAGCTTTACCTACTGGTGGGCCAGCACCAGTCCTGGGAGTCTCTGGATCCAATCCTGCCCACCAGCAGGCAGGCCTACATCAGCCTCAGGGCCACCACATCTCTGCAGCCTGCCCTGTCAGAATTTAACCAACACACAGCAGGATGATATCAGCCCCAGGACCCCTCATGCCCTGGCTCTGCATACCACCAGGCTAGTGTCAGTTCTGGACACCTTGTGCCCCTTAGCATCCAGAATCCAGCACCATCCACCAGTGGGTTGACACCAGATTTGGAACTCCCAGGGTACTGCAACTGAAAAACCTGGTGGGGGGAGGGAGCAGTGCCTAGCTTTGTCTGCCGATGAGCTGACACCAGCCCTGGGAAACCCTGGGTCCCAGCTCCGCCCATCAGTAGGCCAACACCAGCTCTTGGACTGCTTAGCCAGTTGCCCCAGAATCCAGGCAGTGGAACAGCACCAGCTTTGGATACCCCAGAACCTACAACCAGCCATGTCAGGAAGCAGCCCCTCCACCAGCAGTCCAAAACTAAATCAGGAACCCTAGTCCTGCAACCACCCCTTTCCCATAACTCATCTTTGCCCATGGTCCCACCAACCAACGCCAGCAGCTTCTTCACAATGCAGGGCCTGGCAACCGGCTGGACCAGGCAGCCACACCTACCAGACTTCCTGCAGTGGTCAGCCTGCCACACAGAAGGACCCATGCAGCTCACATGGGGGCACCCCTAGGGTGTATAGCTCTGGCGGCCAGACAGGAGTGCACTGTCAGCACATATAGGACGTCTCCTACAAAAGGCCACTCCTCCAAGTCAGGGTGTAACCAACCTACCAGATATGTAGAAAAGGAAACAGCAAATTAGACAAAGCAAGGTGCCAAAAGAGCATGTTCCAAAAGAACAAGTGAGAATAAAACTCCAGAAGAGCTATGTGAAGTGGAGATAGGCAGTCTACTTGAGAAACAGTCAAGGTAGTGATTGTGAAGATGATCAGAGAACTTGGGAGAAGATAGGTTATACAGGGTAAGAAGTTAGATGTTTTTAACAAAGGATCAGAAAATTTAAAAAAGAACCAAGCAGAGATAAAGAATGCAGTAACTGAAATAAAGAATAGCAGGATGGTAGATTCTTTCTACAACACCAGAAGGGATCAAAAGTAGATTAAATGATAAGATGAACGAATCAGTGAGCTGGAAGACAGGAGTAGAAATTACTGGTGCTTAACAGAAAAAAGAATGAAAAGAAATGAGGATGATTTAAAAGACCTCAGAGACAACATCAGGCCCACTAACATTATAGAGATCCCAGAAGGAGAAGAGAGAGAGGCAGAGAACATGTTTGAAGACATAATAACTGAAAAGCTTCCCTAACCTGAGAAAGAAAACAAGCATTCAGATAAAGGAAGCACAGAGAGTCTCAAACAGGATCAATCCAAAGAGGACCACAGCAAGACACTTTGTGATTAAAATGGCAAAAAATAAAGACAGTATAAAAAGCAGCAAGGGAAAAGTAGTAAGTTACATACAAGGAAACGCCTGTCAGGCAATCAGCTGACTTTTCCGCAGAAACTATGCAGGTAAGAAGGGAGTGGCACAATATGTTTAAAGCAATGAGAGGGTAGAACCTACAGCCAAGAATACTATACCAAGAAAGACTTCCATTCAGATTTGATGGGGAGATTGAAGGTTTTACGGGCTTCCCTTGTGGCTCCGCTAGTAAAGAATCTGCCTACAATGCGGGAGACCTGGGTTTGGAAAATCCCTGGAGAAGGGAAAGGCTATCCACTCCAGTATTCTGGCCTGGAGAATTCCGTGGATTATGCAGTGTGCTGTATAGTCCATGAGGCCACAGAGAGTTGGACACGACTAAGAAACTTTCACTTTCACTTTGAAAGTTTTACACACGAGTAGAATCCAAAGCACCAGTTTAGATGGGTTCACAGGTATTTTCTATTAAATGTCTGGAGAAGAGTTAACATGTATCCATCTCAAACTACTCAAAAGAATTACAAAGGAATGGATACTTCTGAACTCATTCTACAAGGCCAGCATCACCCTGATAACAAAACCAAAGATACCACAAAAATTGAAAAGTACAAGACAGTATGACTGATGAATGTGGATGTAAAAATCCTCAACAAAATATCAGCAAACTGAAATCAGCAATACATTGAAAAGATCATATGCTATGAGCAAGCAGGGCTTATTTGGGGGATGCAAGCATAGTTCAAAATCTGCAAATTGATCAATATGATAAATCATATTAACAAATTGAAGAATAAAAATCATGACCATCTAAATATGCAGAAAAAGCTTTTGAAAAAATTCAACATCCATTTATGGTTAAAACTCTCAGCAGAGTGGCTGTAAAGGCCATCTGATAAGCCATAGCTAACATCGTATTTAGTGGTGAAAAGCTGAAAGCATTTCCTCTAAGATCAAGACCAAGATAAGGATGCCCACTATTGCCACTTTTATCCAACATGGTATTAGAAGTCCTAGCCACAGCAGTCAGACAATAAAAAGAAGAAAACCCAAATTAGAAAGAGAGAAATAAAACAGATGACACATGTTATATAGAGAGAGTTCTAAAGATGCCACCAAAAACTCATCAATGAATTTGATACAGTCTCTTTAAGAAATGATGCTCAGAAAACTGGACAGCTTTTGTAAAAGAATTGAAATTAGGACATTTTCTCCTACCATATACAAAATTAAACTCGAAATGGATTAAAAATCTAAATGTAAGACTGGAAACCATAAGATCCTAGAAGACAACATAGGCAGAACATTTTTTGATATAAATCCTGTAGCAGTACTTTTTTTGGCTATCCCTCCTAAAACAAAGGAAGCAAAAGCAAAAATAAACAAATGGACCTTACTAAACTTAAAAGCTTTTGCATAGAGGAGGGAACCACTGATAAAATGAAAAGACAACCTACCGAATGGGAGAAATATTTGCAAACGGTATGACTGATAGGTGGTTAATATTCAAAATATATGGACAGCTCATACAACTCTATCAAAAAAGCTAAACAATCCAATTAAAATGGGCAGAAAACCTGAATAGACATTTTTCCAAGGGAGACATATAGGTGGCCAAGAGGCACATGGAAAGATGCTTAGTATTGCTAATCATCAGAGAACTACAAATCAAAACCACAATGAAATATCACCTCACACTTGTCAATATGACTATTATTTTAAAAAAAAAACAAAACACCCAAAAAACAAATGTCAGAAATATGATGAAAAGGCATTCTCGTTACAGTGCTGGGGATTTGGATTTACACCAATGTAAATTGGTACAGCTTCTGGAACACAGTGTGGAGGTTCCTCATAAAACTAAAAATTGAACTATCATATGATTAGCAACTCCACTCCTGGCTAAATAAAGTGAAAACACTAATTCAAAAAGATGCATGCACCCCAGTGTTCATATCAATGCTATTTACAGTAGCCAAGTACAAGGCAACCTAAGCATCCATCAACAGATGAATAGATAAAGAGGTGGTACACACACACACACACACACAGTGCAGTACCATTCAGCCATAAAAAATGAATGAAATTTTGCCTTTTGCAGCAACATGGATAGACCTGCAGGGTCTTGTGCTTAGTGAAATAAGTCAGAGAATGATAAATACTGTATGTTATCAGTTATATGTGGAGTCTAAAAATAAAACAAATGAATATGACAAAGCAGAAACAGACTCACAGATATTGAGAACAAACTAGTGGTTACCAGTGTGGAGAGGAAACAGAAGGGCAAGATAAGCGTGGAGGATTAAGAGGTACAAACTGTTACACATAAAATAAGCTATAAAGATACATTGTACAGCACAGGGAAGTAGCCAATATTTTATAATAATTTAAACAATATAATCTGTGAACATTTGAATCACAGACATTCACCTAAAATGATATAATATTGTAACTCAACTATACCTCAATAAAAAGTTAGGCAAAAATGGAATTTGCATAGGTTTTTAAAAAAGATATATAATATTGCCAGAGCTTTATGAAGCTTTGTGAAGTTCTATAATGAAT